TATAATATAGGATATAGTTAGCACAGAATTGAGGGAATATAAATGGAAGAACATCTTTGTGTTGTATTAACATAAGTGGAGGAAAAGATAAATATGTGAATCTTAAGCAGAAATAAAGTAAAATAAATTACCTTTGCCTCAATTATCACATTAATTTCTATAAAAATGGGAGAGCAATGAATTTTCTGTATTAATTCCTGGTTAATTGTTTCCTTTCACGGGCTTGAATTTCTATTTGGAGGGTTATGAATAATCGATTGTTTTGCTTTCTCCTCATTAAACTACCTCACACTTGGTTTCTACAGACTGTGTTTCGTGGTCGAATAGATTTTCTATTACTGAACAACAAATGTGATGATTTAAAATAACACCTATTTACTATTTCATAGTTGGGTATACCAGAAATCCTGGCATGGGCTCAACTGGATTCTCTGTTCAGGTTCTCAGAGGGCAGAAATCAAGGCTTCAGTGGGGCAGTGCTGTCTCCTGTAGTTCCGGGCCTTCTAACAAGCTTATGCATGTTGGCAGAATTCAGAATTCTGGACTGAGGACCAGCCCCCTTTTTGGCCATCTGCCAGGAGCTGCTATGAGTTCCTGGAGGCCTCCTCTTTTCTGCCACAGAGTGCTCTCCACAATGTGGGAGAAATCTGCTGCTGCTTTGAATCTCCTGGAGTTTTCCTGGACTCTGACTTCTAGACCTTCTTTTAAAGAGTTCACTGATTACATAAGGCCCATCCAGGATAATCTTTTAAAATGCAATAGATTAGGGACTACAGGTGCTGGTGATTCAAGAGTAAATAAAGTAGGTCTTAATCCTGATGCAGGCGATAGTCAATTACTGGAATACGACTGCAGACTGCGGTGGCTGCTTTGAAGGAGGTGAATGGGGTGGTGTAGCAGAGTAACTAAGGAAGAGTTCTTGTGACAGGAGCTGGTATCTGGGTTGAGACCAGGAAGATGAGTGTGAGTCACTCATGAGAAGAGCTGAGGGAAAAACAATCCAGGCATCAGCTGAACTTTTATATTGTGTCTAAAACAAACTATTTGAGAGTACAAATCATCCTCCTGAAGGAATTCCCTGAAACCTTGTTTTCTCTATTATCTTTGACTGAGTATTTCAGTAAAAACACAATTCAATACAGAATTAAATTTATTGAATACCTGGATGTTACATGCTTTCTGGATGCATCAATGTTTTCTGCTTCCCAGAGTGTCCTTCTAGGTCATCCCTCACACTACAATCAGTGGGATCAATGGCTAATTAACTGTTCTACTTATATCACTGCTGCTGTAGGATGTTTTAGCTATTTACTTCTAACAACTATTGCCACCCAACTGCAAGCATTAGAGTCTTTTATATATGGGTCTTTTTAAAGGAAAATATGAATTTCAAAGTGAGTATATTCTATGTCAGCAAAGAAGAAAGAAAAGGCTTTTCCTCATGTTTATTTGCAGCATTATTTACAATAACAAAGATAAGGAGGCAATCCAAATGCCCATTGGTCAATGGATGGATAAAGAAGATGTGGTACATATACACAATGGAATATATTAGCCATAAAAATGAATGAAATCTTGCCATTTGTTACAACATGGATGGACCTAGAGGGTGTCCTGCTAAGTGAAATAAGACAAAGACAAATACCGTATAGTTTCACTTACATGTGGAATCTAAACAAACAAAAAAGAAATAGATCCATAATTATTTACTACAGATTTGGTTACCATAGGGAGGAAGGTGGGGACCTGGGTGAAATAGGTAAGGGATAAAGAGGTACAAAGCATAAATTGTAAAATAAGTTAGTGATAGGAATGGAACACATCGTTTCATAGTTACAACACATAGAATGCAACCAACATTGTAATATCTTGGAATGGTAATATGGTATTGAGATAACTAACTTGCTGTGGCAAACATCTAGTAATGTGTGTATTTATCGAGTCACTATGTTGTACATCTGAAATCAAATTTATAATATTGTATATCAATTTTATTCCAATTTAAAAATGTATTTCCCTTTAAATTGTTTTCAAATTTAAATTTATGTACTGGCTTTCAGTGTGAATCTACATAATAACACGTTTACCCAGGTTTGAATCTTACTCAAATATGAAAATATTTTGTAGCACAGAATCCATTATTTCACCACAATGTTATACATTGAAATAAATCACATAAGTGTGTAAGTTGTTATTTGGGGTTCTTCATTCCCACCCTATCATGCCCTTCTTTCTAATTCATAAGTTACTAAATCCTAAAACCCCACATAAAAGAATGTATCTTAATCCCATTCTTATAGCATTATCCCCACTATGATTGCCTTATTCACACTTTTTAAGGCCTCTGTATTGACTGAACAGTGTAACTAGTTTTGCTGTTAAGAGCCTCTTCCTACTCCATATTTTATACAGTTGCCAAATTCTGTTCCTAAAAACTGAGAAAAATCCCTGTCTTCATGGAGCTTACATTCTAATGGAAGACACTAAAAGTAAACAAATGACAAAATAAACTTGTGATAATGAGGTATAAAGAAAGTAAAAACAGGGTGAGAGGAAAGAGTAAAAGAGAGTAATTAAAAAAATTTTTAGTTTTATTGAGATAAATTGACATACAGCACTAAGTTTAAGGTGTCACAAATCATTTTAGATAGATGATGACATCTATCTAAATTGTAACACATGTTAATGCCCTTTAGTCAATGACCAGCAGGAACACATCCATAGTCAAACCAAGTTGGGTTTGACTTGTCACAGAAAGCAGAAAGCACACCACGAGAACTGTAGTCTCAGGAAGAAGGTGTTGTATAAGACTTATTGTAGGATTGTGCCCTTGTGCTAGGTGTAAGATAAATTCTAGCTGAAATAAGCAGGCAATGAGAGGCAACAAAGGGCCAGGCAGTTTATTTGAGCGCAATTCCTGGGTGATGTTCTCAGGTCTGGCTATCACAGGCCGGGGAAGTCACACTGGGTCAGGGAGGTGGCGGCTTATAAGGGGTTAGGAAGGGGAGGAGTGGGCAAGCTATCCTAGGGGGTGTGGAGAGAGATGATTGGCTAAAGGTGTCATAAAAGACAACTAGAAACTTTTTTCCTTCCAAGAGGGAGGAGGCTGACATCTGGGTCTTAGTTGGCACATCAGAAGGATGGAATTCAGGAAGAGCTGTCCCCTTTCCATATAAGGCACAGACCTTGAGGTCTGGTCTGTTCTCCTTTTATGGTATCTCTCTGTTCTGTTTGCATGTCCTTGTTTTTTCTTCCTCCAGCCTAACACTAGGTGATTCTGCGAAGGTTCAAAGCTTTGCTTTGGATTGATGCTCTTAGGAAACAGGTAATTCTATGTTTGGGTATCTTAAAAATTGTTATCTAGAGGGTAGGAACAATGGAGAAAAGCTAAGGTTGTAAGTGTTCACAAACAGAAGTCTTTTATGTTAGAATGTTTGGTCATTTTTGTGGTTTGAAGAATGTTCTTTTTATTTGCGGTGTTCAGACACGATCTTGGAGGGGTTTTTGTTTACCATGCTGTCACATTGCGGACATGTCTGATATTGACATTCTGTGAGAGAACGTTCAACAGAACAGTCAAACCTAGCTGAGAATTTTAGTAAAGGTAAAAGATGCAGTCCAGCTCCTGGTTGTTCAGGCTGCTTTGCTTTTTCTCACTAACAAAGTAATTAAGTGCTATACTTGTCTCTAAATTGCAATTTATAACACTTACTTCTAATGCTGTTATTATTTGGGATAATGAGTTCTAAAACTCATAGCTCTGGTGATCAGGCTCCACTTAATGGAAAAAAGACCGTCTTCTCATTTCTTCATGTCCTTTATACTGACTCGTTCTCTTCAGTATTCAAGCCTCTTCCAATTTCTCCCTCATTGAAGGACAACCTTCTCTCAATACCAGGCACCAACTCTAGTTATTTCCCTTTCTCTGGCCTCATTATAATCAAACCTTCAAAAGGGTTGCTGTAAAGCCCATTTCCACTTTCTCATCTGGAACATCAAGAGCCTTCTAAAACCGTTTATCATAGAGCAGGCACTGCACAATCACTTACACGTATATGATGGATCGATGAGACTCCGAGGCTGCAGATAAAGCAGTCTATAGCTTGTAGTTTGGAATGTTGGATGACTCACTGAGTGAAGCAATTTTATCTTTCTGTTGTATATGGGCAATTTGATATAGGCTTTCATTTTTAAATTAAGTCACGGAAAGTCAGTAGTCTGCCACAAGCAACAAGCATTAGAACAAGTGGAGAAACAGCGACGCTGCACATCCAATTAGGTCCTCACGTGAGAACAGAGGTGCGCATAGCCCGCGGGCCGCACATCTGCTACTCCAACGACCTGCAGCCAGGGAACCAGGTTCCTTCCGGCGGAACCCTGTTTACTGCTCAGCAGTGGCCTCAGTCTCCGAGTGGGGAGGTGGAAGAACGACTCCTGGCCAATGGCAGTTCTTGAACTTACACCTACAGACAGACGTCAGCGCGGCTGTGCAAACGGATGTCACACAGCTGGCTCGGAAGCGTCTCCTCCCGCCCCAGAGAAGGGGCGTGGGCACATCGGCCTCCACTAAACCTTGGGGACGTGAGAGAGGGGGCGCGCGCTCGCCGGGCCGCTTCTTCCCAGTAGTCCCTGCTCAGCGGCGGTCCTCGCGGAACCGCTCGGGCTCGCGCTCCCGCCCCGAGCGCGCTCCCGCCGCCAGCTCCGCCCCTCCCGAGGGCCGCGCGCGTCTGCGGTTCCGAGCTGTGTCGCGGGCGCGCGCGCTGCCGGCTGCGCCGCAGTTAAAATGGTCCGAGCCGGACCCCGCGTTCCCCTGGCCGCTGCACTGACTGACTAAGCTGGCGGGCCAGATTCGGACTGGTCGCCTAGCCGGCAGGCTCGCTCCTTCCGTCGCGTTCCCAAAGCTCGCGCCCATCGTTTTCCCGGCTTTCCCGGGGCAAAGCATGTAGCCCCGGTCAGGCTCCGGGGCGGCCCTCAGCTGACGCCCACCCCCCACCGTCGCGTGTTGCCCGTGTGTGTGTGCTCAGGGAGGGCGACCCCGCCGCGGGCCTGAGGCCGAGCCAGCGAGCGCCTGCCCCGCTGCCGGTAGCTCGCCTCTTAGGGCTTCCCTACTTCCCCGTCCCGGTCCCCTCCTCGGGGCCTTCTATATGGGCCACCTTCTCTCGAAGGAGCCGCGTAACCGCCCGAGCCAGAAGAGGCCTCGCTGTTGCAGCTGGTGCCGCCGCCGCCGCCTTCTCCTCAGGCTGCCCCGCCGGACCCCGTCCAAGGCGCCCCCACAGCCGGCGGCGCCCCGGAGCCGGGACTGCTTTTTCCGCGGGCCCTGCATGCTCTGCTTCATCGTGCACAGCCCCGGCGCTCCCGCCCCCGCCGGCCCAGAGGAGGAGCCGCCGCTCTCGCCGCCGCCGCCGCGGGACGGGGCCTACGCCGCGGCCGCCTCCTCGCAGCACCTGGCGAGGCGCTACGCGGCCCTGGCTGCCGAGGACTGCGCCGCCGCCGCCCGCCGCTTCCTGCTATCTTCGGCCGCCGCCGCCGCCGCCGCCGCCGCCTCGGCCTCGTCGCCCGCCTCCTGCTGTAAAGAACTGGGGCTGGCCGCGGCCGCTGCCTGGGAGCAGCAGGGCCGGAGCCTCTTCTTGGCCAGCGTGGGGCCCGTGCGCTTCCTGGGGCCGCCCGCCGCCGTGCAACTCTTCCGAGGGCCGCCGCCGCCGGCCGAGCCCCCCACGCCCCCCGAGATGGTGTGCAAGCGGAAGGGGGCCGGGGTCCCTGCCTGCACCCCCTGTAAGCAGCCCCGCTGCGGAGGTGGGGGCTGCGGCGGCGGCGGCGGCGGCGGCGGCGGGCCTGCGGGGGGAGGCGCCTCGCCGCCGCGGCCCCCCGACGCCGGCTGCTGCCAGGGCCCCGAGCAGCCACCGCAGCCTCTCTGCCCCCTGCCCTCCTCTCCAACTGCCGAAGGTACCCCGCCAGAGGCCAGCGGGGACGCCGTCCGAGCGGGGGGCACCGCCCCCTCGCCCGCCCAGCGACATGAATGTGGCGACGCGGACTGTCAGGATCCCCCCGAAAACCCCTGCGACTGTCACAGGGAGCCACCCCCTGAAACCCCAGACATCAACCAGCTGCCGCCATCCATCCTGCTCAAGGTGGGTCTGGGCGAGAGGCGCTGAGATGCGCGCTTTCCCCCAACCCGGCCCCCACCTCGGAGGTTTTCTCTCTCCTCCCCCTAAGCGCGGAGGAGGGGGCTTCCTGACAGCCTGCGACGTCCGAAGGGGAGATCGGGAAGCCAATGGGGAGGATGCTTGTGGCCTACTTTTGAGATAGAAGAACTTGGGAGTCGGATGAGTGTCTTTTAATAGCTTGAATTTGTTGCACAATTCAGGGTTCATCTGGTATTAGATTCCAGCCGGGTGATTTAGAAACTTTTCGTAGGTTCTTTCTTTTCTTTTTCTTTTTTTAATCGAGCAGTTTACACTTATAAAGGCTTTGTATATTAGTATCTGAAAGTGTTCAAACAGTACTTTCAGGTTTGATAGCAGCTCGTTAATGTCAATAACAGTGAACTTTTACCGAGCATTTACTATGATTGGGGACTGGGCCAGAGCTTTGTATACATGGTATTTCATTCGATCCTCTCTGTGAGATAAATATTGTTAACATCCTTAACTTTTTGCAAGAAGGAACTGATATTTCGGTGCTATGTGCCTATAGTAGTAAGGCAGGCAGAAGTGGTCTTTGCTCTTAACGGAGCTTACAGTTTGGCGGGGCTTGAAGATGCTGAATGACTTGTCCAAGGTCACACACTGGGGCAGATCTGGGAATTCAGGCTTGTCTGACTTAAAAACTCTTTCTTTTATGGCAATGTTGTGTTGCCTTACTACATGTTAACCTTTGCATAAAAGCATACAGATTATCAAGAGGTAAGAACAGATGTATTTTGTGTTGGGCGATGGGTGAGTGGAGATGAGGTAGGTGTCCTGTGGGAGCTTTATCTCACTTTCAACTACTAGGTAAAATTTGCAATTTGGTCAGTGTAGTGAGAAACTTTATTATGTGACACGGTTTGTATCATTATTAGCAAGTTATTTTTTCTTCATTTACGCTCTTCTCCCCCCCCCCCCACTCCCTTTTTGGAGCTTAATAAATAAATATAAATCACCTTTTCAGTGTGGATGATATTTAAGACTTCCTGAAAATGACCTAGTTAAGAATTTGGTTACTTGTATTGTTATTGTTACCGTCACCGGTATACTTGATTAGACTTTTTGAGTATTTATAATCTTGTGTTTTTGGATGTTTTATTGTGATACTAATGATCTTGTAAATAATATAGGAGAAAAGCTGGAAAGCTTAACTTGTTCTTGTGTCAGAATGTAATGATTTAACTCTTATGGCGGCATATTTATTGGAGGAGTAATCGCCTCCTGTGTATGTTCAGGGGTGCATTTTAGGGCAGAGGAAACTTTCTTGACTTCTTGAAATGAGTGGCTGACATAGACAAAGTAACAAATATTTGGTATAGAGCTTTGAGTGCTGTATTGTTATTTGGCAAGTAAGACGGGTTAAAAAAAAAGCAAGAACAAAAACTGGTTACTTTCTCCTTTTATTTAAACAATCATTTCATGAGGTAGAGAATATTTTAATACAAAAAAAGGACGAAAGACATCTCATAAAATAGAGAGAATCCATACAGAACAGTTTATTCTGTCTGCTACATTGTTGTTTTTCACATTTTGCTGTGGAATGTTGAAAACTTGGCTTAAGGGACATTTGGGAATTAACTCATTGGATATTCCTTGTTGTGTTGGAGTGTTTGGACGTTATGCAGATTTCCATTCCTTGTATTAGAAACTTGAATAAAGATTTCTCTGAGTCTTATGGTCCCAAGTGTTCAGCATCAAGTGAGTTGGACTGTTCGGAATGAATTGAAATGGAGGTTTTTCAGTGTTTACCAATCTAAGTAGAACTTTAAGGGATAAGGCTTTCGAAGGCAGAGGTTCTGTCCCTCCCCCAAGTGCAGTCCCAGGCATTTAATAGAACTCGGTAAATTATGACCACATGAATGTCCAGGTGTTTAGGAAGTCTGGACTGAACCTTAGTGAATATGCCATACCAGTAAGAAGTCTTAAGGCATGTTTATATCTTGACTTGAGTTACGGTTGTTTTGAGCTGCAAGAGATTCATGTGGTGGTGAAAGTGTTCTGCCTTGTTTCCGGTGAGAGCTGGAGGAGTTTAACTTGGAGAAGAGAAGACTTTGGGGGCTATGATAATTTTTTTACAGGATAAAAAGGGTTGTTGCATAGAGAGAACAAAATGCATCACCCGCACTGGAAGACATTCTTAGAAAGTATGCCTTCTTTTCCTGGAAATGGATCAGTAGCCTTTATAATTGTATTGCTCTGTCTTTTGTAGCAGGAGTTTCTATAGTTGTAAAAAAGGGAATATGGAGTGGGGAGAGTTTGGGAGAGAAAGGTGAGGAAACGTAATCTAATGGCTGTTTTTCAGGAAAACTACCGTACTTGCCTAATTTTTTTGAGGTATGACAGAAGCAAAAGAGAAAAACTAAATTTTAATATATATTGCTTCATAGGCATATTTTTGGCTCAATATCTACAAACCTTTTTCTTTCTAAATTTTATTTTTGTATAAGTAATAAGTATTAATTTAAAAATTCAAAAAATGGAGGTGAAACAAAAGTTTGCCTTTGTTCACACCTACCATCCTCTCCAGAGGTAACTAACCACTGTTACTAGTGTAGATTGTTTTACCCCTGTGCTGTGGAGTACAGTAGCCACTAGCCACATATGGCAATTTAAAGTAGTTAACATTAAATAAAATTTAAAATTCAGTTTCTAAGTCACAATATCTACATTTCAGAGATCAGTAGTGTGGTTGGTGGCTACATACTGGACTGTGCAAGTTCAGAACATTTCCATCATTGTTGAAAGCTCTGTGTAAACCTTCATAGCTTTTTTTTTTTTTTCATAAATGACATCAAAATGTACAAATTCTGTAATTTTTTTCCATTTAATGTGCTTTGGAAGTCTTTTTTATTCGTATATGATTTCCTTTATTCTTTTTAATTACTGCATAGTATACCATAGTATTATACCATACTGTATTTATTTCTCTATTAATGGACCTTCTAATTTAATTGCTACCACAAACAGTGCTAGTACTGTTTCAGTGGACATGTCTTCTTTTTAGCGTAGATTTTGAGAAATAGAATTTTAGGATTGAAGATGGATGTATTTCAGAATTTAGAAAGTCCTTTCTAACAATAGCAGCTGTGCAAAAATGTAATGAGTTAATGAGTTCTTTCTTGAAATAGTAAGCCTCACTGGAAATCATAATTCTGTAACTTCAGAGCAGAAAGAGACCTTTAAGGTCATCTGGTTATGTCCTACTTATGCATGAAAAAACAGGCATTAGAGAAATGAAATGGCTTGCTTAGCCCAAGACCTTTTAGATAGTGAATGGCAGACCGTGGGCAGGAACCCAGCTCAGTGTTTCCAGGTCTAGAGATCTTTTCAACATTGTGTAAGAGGACCTGAATAACTTTCTCTCAGAGATTTTAGGAAAAAGATTCCTGAAGTGGCGGGTGGGAGAGGCTGTGGCAGGGGTGGTGAGGGAGGCAGGGAGCTGCTTACACCAGAGGACTTCTAAGCCATGATCAGTCAGAGGCTAATTTTATAATTGGGACTGTAGGGTTGAGTTGTGGTCTTTAAATATAAGAAATTTGAGAAGCAGGGAATGGCTCCTCAAAGGTCAACTGTGGGAATAGCATTTTCTTAAGTACTTAAAGTCTGTGACAGTTGATCTTTGCTTAATGGACTGTTTTGGATCAAATAAATCAGCTTCAGTTTTTGCTACCTGTTGCCTTTGTGACTTAGCAACCCTGCCTAGTAGTATCACAATTAGATTTTAGATTATAGATTTTATATATATAGTATGTAACAGTTTTACTAAATGATGGCACTGGAATATTTTTCTTCAAGTAGTTACTATTTGAGTAACTGGGCATTTTGAAATCTTTATTTAAATTTTAGAGACTTTGTGTGCCATGTGTTTAGATATTTTGCTGTCAACAGACCTATTTCTTCAAAGGAAAAGGGATGATAGATCCAAAATTCATAACACCATCAGGAAACTACCTCACCATGCTTTACCCTGATAATGTGTCAGGTATTAAATCTTTATTTTTATAGCTTTATTAGCACAAGGTTGCTTTAGTGATCACCAGAGAGTTTTGTAAGATAAATGTGCTTTGGAGGAAAGCTTATGTACCTGAACTTTTTTTTATCGGATGTGCAAATAAGATTGAAAATAATGGAAATAGGAGTCAAAGAACAAAAAGTAATACCACATTTAAAGTTTTGAATGTAGATTACTGGTGGGCAAGAGGAACTAATTTACATGTAACATTTCATGAATGCTTGACCTCAGGCTGCAGTATCAGATAACTTGTAGAAGGTATGTCCCTGTAGTTCTAGGGATGGTTTTAGTTAAGCACTGAAATGACGCGTCTTAAGTCAGACTCAAGATTTTTCTTTGCTGAAGCATGTCATGTAATCTTAATTAACTTAATCAGGCTACCAGGAGGTGAGATCTGTTTCTTGTCATTTTAAGAAGTCTATACATTCTGGTGTCTTGTAAGTCAAGGAGTCAACCTTGAGCCATTCTTTGCCAACTTGAGGTTCTATGTTACATAAATGATAGGGAATGTAAGGGAAGATAAGTGAGTACAAACATGAAAGCATTTAATATTAGCTTACTAATTTCTTAAAAAGTTGCTTAATTTGGCTAAATGTAATATTTTATGCTTATCAAGAGTCTTGCCCAAGTCTCAGCCAGTTTGGAGCAAAGTTGTGTGGTAAGGGCATCCATGTGGAGGAATAAGCTAACAGCAGTGATGGGAGATTGGTGACTTACATACATATGTATGTTTTAATGAGGAACTAAACAAATAATATCCTATAGATTCGGATAGATTCCCCTCTCTGAAATCTCAGAATTAACTATTTCAACTAAGTTCAACTTTCCTGGTCTTTTAATTTTTTCCCCCATGAATGGCATATCTTGCCTCATTCTTTTTTTTTTTTTTTTTTTTTTTTGAGAGGGCATCTCTCATATTTATTGATCAAAT